GCTCAGATAGCATACAGGTGGATGAACTTTCGTTAAGGTTAAATAGTTTAGAACAGTAAATATATATACAGTATATATATATATATATATATATATATAAAGAACAGATAGCTTATAAACATTCTATTAACATTACTGGAAGAATCTTTGTTCATAACTTTGACAGAACTCTTGACAGAATATTAGCCTGAGAACATCTCACTATGTACATATATATATATATATATATATATATATACGCAGTGACCCTAACAGCTAGTTCAATGGTATTCAAAAAGTTTAATCTTCCACTTGACTTTAGTGGGTTTTTTAATAGAGTCCCTCATGAGGACGTCTCCCACTAGTGTCTCTTCATTTCATGGCCGCAGTTTATTTTTGTTGCAGGCCTTTTTTAACTGTCCCTGCTCATACAGACATGTCATATTAGAGGTAGCGCTGTTTTGTTCACACATAATGGATATTGGACCAGATGATTCTCAATTTGTGTGCAGGTAAAGCTATTCGACATGACTGTTCTCTTTGAATCTGGGGCATATCCAGCAAATGGACAGAGCCCTGCCAGGAGCCCAACTAAAGATGCATCAAACAGCCATGCATTATCCACGATACTGTTGCATAATCAAAAGACTATGCAGGGTGCAAGCACCAGTTCTCCAGCAGTTCACCGGGTTGTCTATGATTTAGATTTTACATGAGAATTCCTTTTAAATTTAGTTCCAGTTTTTTAATTGATGCAGAATTTATATTTATATTATTTATACTTATTTTATTGACCATCTCGGAAGAACACTTCATTTCTCTGAATGCTCTAATATTCCTAAATCTTCAAAATGGAGCCAAACAACATTAAGCAGCTTACAACATGGAAACCTTATCAAACATTTTTTTTTTGTCGCAAAACCTGTTTTGGACTAATGAAATTCCTCCTGCTGTGCAACTGTATTGCATTTCTTTGAATTGCAGTTCCACAGAATCCCGTTCCTCTCATTTGGTTTCAACTTTTAAATTCCAACTTATGAATTTAAACCACTGAAATTCTTGTCACACATCACAAACAGATTACTGCTATCTTCCTAAATACTCCTTTTAAACTAATTAAGTGAAATATATTAATTAAACCCAAGCATTGTGCCTCCAAGATAATCTGTATATACGATGGTTTACAAATGAGTGAGAAATTTGTGAAACAATTTGGAAATGTGAAATGTGTAAAATATATTCATTTACATATTGGCCTAAAAAGGTGAGATTACTACTGTTAATTCAACTGAGTGTAATTAATTACTTGAGATATCCCCTTTTTTGAGAAAGTGTTACAATGTAGCAGTATAAGATGTATTTTTACTCATCACAGAATATATTAGTTCAGCACCACTGATACCAGCTGATACCAGGCCGATTATTTCCATCATAAAATGAGGTAATAGAAGCATTTCACTCCCTACCAGTTTATTTCCACAACTTATTTGTGTGCTTGTTTCACAAATAATGAGGCCTAAGACCCCAGAATTTTTTATGGAGGACAGCTGAAGTGTGTTATTAAATAATTATTTTTGTATATAATCACTTCTCAGAATAAGAAAGGTATTTTGGTATTGGTCTGATGCAATGTTAAACATTTTGAGCTATTAAACATATTTGAGCTTTGGGGTCTCTTAGACCACAAACAAAACATTAATCGTGGGCAACAAGACAGACAAAGCCAGATGACGAAGAGAAATCATGATGCAGAGAAGACTCTTGCCCATGTAAGGACTGCTTACATTTTTAATTAAAAAACACTTACACTTTATATCAGTCTACTACACTCTTAAAAATAAAGGTGCTTCAAAAGGTTCTTCAAGCGATGCCATAAAAGAACCATTTTTGGTTCCACAAAGAACCATTCAGTCAAAGGTTCTTTAAAGAACCATCTCTTTCTTGCGTTTTTGTAATCTGAATAACCTTATTTCGCCACAAAGAACCTTTTGGGAAACAGAAAGGTTCTTCAGATGTTAAAGGTTCTTTATGGAACCATTTAGACAAAAAGGTTCTTCTATGGCATCGTGAAGCACCTTTATTTTTAAGAGTGTAAGATGTAGAAGTTGATCTGCAGACACAAGTGTTTTTGGTCACCATTAATAACATTAAGTTCTCTGGAGAGATGTCTCTCAGGTCACGTACACACAATGGCACTAGACCACTAAGACACAATCACAGGGTAGAGTGAATGAATTGAGCACTTCTCGTTTTAAGGATGACGACAGTGTGATTCAGAGAGAGAGATTACTTTTCTTATCTCTAATGGCAGAGCCATGCTAGATTAGACCGTCAGGCAATACATTTTATCGAAAAGAGATGGCTGGAAAGTTTTAAGGTGTAAATTGTGTGAGGTTTTTTAATAGAACAAGCTTTTGCAAAGATGCAGTATTTCATCTTTATGAAATCTAATGCCGGAGTCACCACACCAGACTAGAATTTGAAATGTTGAAGTGCATGGTGTTTTATTCAAGACTGATTGTTCAAACTGCTAGATATATGTGGCCAGATCAGATTTTTATTGCACAGCCATGCATGAGACATTAGCAATAGATGTTTCGTCATTGATCAAGTTTTTATGAAGGCAGTCCATATCTGCAGTTTAAATTTGAATGTAAATTAATTGAATTTCAATTACAATTTAATTAGAATTAATTAGTAATTTGCAATGTTTTATTAGACTTTTAATTAATTTGTCAAAAACAACTTTAAATGTTTTTTTTGGGGTGGGGTGAGGGGGGGACCTTCAATGCCTTACAGACAGAAAGAATCTCAACTTTTATTTATTTATTTTTATATTATTTATTTATTATCTAAAATTTTAATTTGAATGCAAATAAGTAGAACAAATAGATTCTGTCATTTTTTAATTTTAAAACTTTACAGGCTTTACAGGAAGAACAATCGATGGATGGATGGAGAGATTTTAGCAATAGATGTTTCATCGTTGGCAGCGATAACCTTTGTGCCGTCGTACTACGGGCGTCCCAAGTTCAAATCCCATGCTTGTCGAACTTTGCAGATCCTACCCCCCTCTTTCTCCCACATTGCTTCCTGTCATTACTACTGTCCTATCAGATTAAAGGCAAAAAACGCCAAAGATAAATCTTAAAAAAAAAAAAAAAAAGGCAATGACTGTTTCGTCATTGATTATGTTTTTATTATGGTAAACTATATCTGCGAATTTAAATTGGAATGTAAATAAGAATAATTAAAATTAGTTGTATTTTAAAATTTGTAATTTTTACTGTATTTTCCAACCTGGTCTCATAAAAATACATACCTCTGTGCACTTTTTGTGCAACACCGTTTTTACGTACCTTACTGCACGTTTCGCCGCAGTTTCAAAGAGAAATGTCCACTGAGTGGCGCTAAAACACTGGTTCAATTTGTGAACCCTGGCACGCTTTTATTACGTTGAAATAGGTACGTATTGCTGTGTTTTTATGTTGCTTCTGGTACGTATTGCGGCGGTTCAGAATTCAAATATCTGGGGACTGTCGCTAAAAGTTAATGCTCTATCGTGTTGGAAATATGCCCTACACCAAACCCAACCCTAAACCTACCCGATAGTGTTAACAAATGCAAAACTGATAGAAAACATATTTGTTGATGCAACCATGCCATTTCAACTTCCTTATATGCAGATTTCAACTGTTTTGTCAAACTGTGGTTACACAGGATTCAAACCAGAGCTCCTCACCTCTCAAGTACGTCTCCGTACTCCGTGAGCTACCGAGCAAACCTACTGCCATTGAAAACCCATAGATATGAAGCTGGATATGTGCGATGCTAACGTTCAATAGCGTCAGTTTTCAAATCTCCCAGCATATTAATATTGTTTTGAAGTCATAACTTCAAGTAATTGTGTGAAAATTACGCTTTATCAATCGAAACTGTAAATTTGTGTGAAAAGGAATAAAAGGTGTCGGAGTTTTACTGCCTCTAGTGTTCATTTATTTTGGAAACTGCAGTGATATGTAGCCTACTTATTGGTACGTATTTCGCGTCTCGCTAAAAAGTGCACCCAGGTACATCTAGACCAGGTAGATATTTTCAATTAGAATTGAATTAGTATTTGTCATTTTTAAGTAAAAAAAAAAAAAAAAAAGCTAAATTTGTCAAAACTTTGAATGAATCTGAATTTAGCAATGGATGTTTGCCATTGATTATGTTTTTATGAGGGCACACAATGTAAATAAGTACAAAAAATTATTTTAAAAAATTAAATTACATTTTGTAATTGATACTGTATTTTTTATTAGAATTGAATTAGTATTTGTCATTTTTAAGTAAAAAAGCTACATTTGTCAATAAAAACTTTGAATGTTGGCTTGACAAAACAAGTTTAAAAAGCATTGACGTTTGAAAGTTTATAGGCCTTAGGGACAGAAAGAACAGTATATAGATTGATAGACAGAACAATAGATGGATAGATACTTTATGCATAATTTTTAGTTTTCTTTTTAGTATATTTGAGAGTTTAATGTAAGTGTAATTTCTCTGAACTCTGCATTCCCTGCGAGTTAAGCCAAGCTAGAGCTTGCCAATTGAATTTAACCCATTATATAACTTGGCCTTGGAGCAATAGGATGCTGTCTTCCCCAGGGGTTGAATCCTCAAATGACTGACTGTTCAGACTAGCCATACGCCTCTGTCTCTGTAGTGCAGATAAAAGCAGTTGACGACAGCCGCCCTATCACTCGCATGACTGCGGTGGCCTCTTTGTGATATCGCACTTCATCACGCAAAGTAAAACTGAGGGTGATGTGAGAAAGAATATATTGACGCTCCATACAGCTGTTTTCATGTGTGGCTTCAGGCAGTGTTTCATTTTGCTGTGTGTTGTTGACGCTCAGTGTGATCATATTAATCTTAAAGCATATAAATCATTGAGCCTTTAAGCACCGTAGGACGAATAATACTTGGAATATCTAAATATTCTGTCCTGACACAAGTCATTGTTGATTTCACTGTTGTAGGGGAAAGACTCTAGGGCTGCAGATAAGACCGTTGCCATGGTCCTGAAGGAGATACCCAATAAGGCGTCCTCAGAAGGCAAGCCCCTCCTCACGATGACAAACAAGGTGGGCAGAACTACTGCAGTTACCGCCAGAATCAAACAGCACATCCGTTCTCGCTGCATGGGAATGATAACCAATGGCAAGGCTTTGACCATCACATGTCTAACCTCCACCTTTTAGCCCAACAAAAATTAAAATCACAGTGTGTCTCTGCCATCACAGATTTCTACCTGACAGCACAACAGCTAACACAGGCTTTTTTTATTTCATTCAGAGCAGCTCTGTGGGGTGTAAAATTGAGCTTTTCACACCAGGCAAGGCTTGTCCCAGGAAATAGAATGGGGACAATAGAAATGAGCATTTCAGATGGACACATGGGACACACATGGATTTAAATCTTAGCTTTAATGTTTGGTGAGGGTGCAGGGGGGTTTTTTGTGCCACAGCCACAATATAGATTACATATTCAAACTGTGGAAACACTTCACCACATGCTTCTAAATTGTAATATACCTCCAACATTTGATATATTTAACATTGGTTTACATATATTTTATATAGCAATCAGTTAAGGTTATCAGCAAGGTTATTTTAGTACAATTAAGATATTAATTTTTATTAATATTTTGAATTATTATTTATGTTTTGATTTTTATTTTAAGGTTTAGTAATTTTGTTGTGTTTTGGTCATTTTTCTTAGTTTTAATATGCTTATAGTTTTCATTCAGTATATTTTAGTTTTAGCTTTAGATATTTTATTAATTCAAATAATTCAAGATACATGAAAATTAGAAATGTTTCCTTGGAAACTAGCTGAAATAAAAGTTTTATTTATATAAAAAATTTCAGATAATGTAACAAGTGACAAAATTGTTTAACGGTTTTAGTTTTAGTTAACTATAATAACCCTGGGTATCAGTTGATATTTGATATTTAGATTACTACTGCTTTTCTCAACACTTAGTAAATTATTAACATAAATGTAATCTTTAGCAAATCTCAAAAATTAATATTCATTTTTCATATTGTATTTTATAATGTTATCACGTATAAATTCACCTCATATCACAATCATCACAATAATCAAAATTTGTATGTGTACTTTCATTTGTAATTTACTAGACAAATTATTATAGAATTGCCAATTAAAGTAATTTAAAACAGTATTTTAATGGTGTTCCATCTCTAATTTTACATGCATCAAACTACATGATATGATAGCATAACAAATGTATTTGATGCTGGAACTTTTCTTGCAAAAACACATTTCCTTGCTTTTATAAAGCTGCTGTCACAGCTTTATAGCTCATCTTGTTGTTGCCTGTGTGGTCTATGGCTCATTCTGTGTTTAATACTATTGTCTGCGTAGTTCAAGTCTGTGTGTTGCATTGATGCCAGACAGATTCTGAACTATTCAATAATAATTGCATTACACTAAGCTTTTGTAGTGCTCAACTGGTTTCCACTTTTCCTCCACCAGTCACTAAATGACAGATGATTCAAATATGCCTTTGAAAAGCATTTTGTGGTTAGTTTTGTAATCAGTCGACAATCAATAGACCAGTGACTTGAAGCCAACTGGACTCCTTTGCTTTGTCCATAATAGCGTGAAGGTTAGTTAATTTTCAAATCAGGTGAGATTGAACATGGTATGTGAAGCACAGCATCATTCCTCTGTGTAAAGTCTTGTCAATACTGATGCTAAGGTGTTATCAGATCAATACTGTCCAATTTACCACAATGTGGAACCTGTAGTAACTTCAGTCTTGTAAAACAACTAACGGTCCAAATGATAAGTTGATTTCACTGATAAAGTTTAGTTGACATTCAGTTAGGAGATAGATAGATAGATAGATAGATAGATAGATAGATAGGATATTTATAGAAAGCCTGAATAACGTTCTGTTGAGAAATTACTGCTTCTTAGTCTATGTGTCATTGAAAAATTTAAAACTGTATATTTAAACACCTGCTGTCACTTCAAGTGAACCGCATGACTTAACGGATAAACTCTTTATGTGAAGAAAAATATTTTATAATTAGCCAGGAACACTGTGTTAATGACATATAAGAAGCAGCTTTTTTAACTTGATTGAAAACACTTAGTCATTGCGAGAACCAGGTGTTCTTATTTGCACTTCTGATTGTTTTTCAATATTTAACTTGCTTGTGTTGCGTAAACACTGGTTCAAATATCATATCAATTATGCAGTTGATTGTACTGACCTCACACACAATTTAGCACTCAAGATAAAATAGTGGTCTTCAACATGGTAGATGACTTTTACCGCAAACTACCTCTGAAACTCATTTCTTCATACTTAATGCAGTTGTGTATGTTCGTGCTGTTATTTATAACACTAATAATTGCCTCACATGAGCTTATACCTCCCTCAACCTCCCTCCCTAACTCTCCCCCTTAAGACTCCCACTAGCTAAACTGGTTCCAGGTTCCCTTGACAACAATATCTTGGAGTTGTCACCAGGAGATAAACCCACATGACACAATTAGTTGAAGTTTTCCATGACATAATTCAGGATTTGCCCTCGGGCTCAAACACAAAGACAAAAGTGAGGAAGTACAAAATGCTTGTGTTGTGATAAAGCGTAGCTGAGAACAACTGAAGAAAATTCCTTTTCATATAGATAAAGGAATCCCTGAGTAAGTTCAATCAGTAAGTTTATTCTGCTATACAATTACTGTAAAATTTGCCGTGTCTTGAAAGGGTAATCAGCATTCACAGGGCTAAATGTAGTTACTATAAATGCCTCTGAGTATCATGGGAAGATGGGACATCAGAAGCACAATGAATCTCAGAATAGTACATTATGCACTACATGAATAATCAAATCCTAATTAAAACCAAACTATGTATGTGACCTTGATCTTCAAGTCTTGGCTGAATATAATGTAATATAATTTTTAGTGAGCCTCATGACTGTATTTCACACTGTCATTGTATTCTTTTACTTAATGCTTTTATGTTGTATCTTCTGAGGGACAATTGTCAATGCATGGATTCCTTCAAATTATGAGGAACAGATTGCAGAGAAACTATGCACACTCATTTTTAATGGGAATACGAGTTCAAAATGTAAGCAGACATTAAAATGTTTTCAATACTGTAGGAAGGTTTAAATTAAATGAAAACCAACCCAAGGAGGTAAAGGCATCATGACGTCAGTATTCCTTGAATTTGCTCGATTAAATGAAGTATTTAACACAATTTTGGGTAATGTGTGTGAATATAGAATGCAGCACAAGGATCTTTGAACATATTTTATCTTGAAATATCCATGTAGCACTCGGAATCAAGACTGCTTCTTTTAAAATAATAATACAATTAACACATTTTTCATGAGCTCAGACACATCGTTTCATCAACCACAAAAGATTAAAAAGTGATTCAACATTTTATTTCAACGATAGACGAGCTGTTTCAGTCAAGTTAAATTTATTTTAAAACCGAATGATCTGTCTGATAATCGTGTATTTGGTATAACAAACCTGAACAATGATATTGTAATGTTTCTTTTTCAGCGTTTACTCACCCATCTATGTGTTCCTTGCTGTATGTTTAATAAATGGCTATTGGATTAAGTTTACCCAAGCCACAATACATTACCGTTACTTGAAACAAATTGCCAGCGTCTTAACAAAAATCCTAATAAATGACCGAGTTACCTCGTAATCTTTAATCAAAATATCTTCCAGTGAAAACAACAGAATTTTCTTTGGTGACATATGCGAGGCTTCGCCGGTCAAAACACATCCCTAACCAGACCCCCTTCACCCTCCTCCACTATTGAGTGTAACACCCCCATCTCGAAACCAACCAACCAACATCCGAAACGAAGAAACAACCTTTCCCCCAAACAATTTATTTCGTTCCGCCACTACTTCCTCGTGACGACGGCTATGCTACATCCCCTGTGAGCAAAGAGCGGCTGACCTCATAAACTCTGCAGTTATCGCAGGCTTTCCTAGATCTGTGAACAATACAGGGTTTGACAGAATGGTCGACAGAGCTACGGCAACATCTTGTTGATCAAAACATTATCTACGTGGACCGACAGAATCAGCTTCAACAATCCAATTTGTCTGAGCCTGACGCACTCTGCAATTTTTCAATTAATAAGGCTTCGACGGATCTGAACCATAAACCGGAAATTGAAACTGAAATTGCACAAGGCCTGGACCGTCGTGGATTAAAACAGTCAGTCCAGATTCTAGGAAACGGTGACAACATTCTATGTACACATTTGACATATGACAACCTGTCAATCAACGCATAAATCAGGTCATAAATCAGGTCATAAATCAGGTCATAAATCACCAATCTGACACTTAGTGTAGGATACTACTACTATGCTTCTATTGGCTATTATTATTCAATGACTATTTCTGCGGATTATCGTTACGCCTGTAGGTGGCGACAATCTTTAAGAGCCACTGAATCATCCATTCAACCGATTTGTTCAAAACACTGATTCATTCAGGAACAAAACACCAGTATTGATGTTGCTCAGAGATGTAGCTGTTGATTCTGCAATTATCTTTTGTTTGGACTTTGTTTGGAATTGCTTTTAGTGGCGGAGCAAAAACAGACCAAGCAACTTGAAATAAGCTAACGTTACTGTGTGTAAAATGTAAGTATTAACTTAAGAACTACAGCACTCCATATCATTGCTTAATTGACTGTTCGCAGAGACCCGCCCTCCTTAGTTAGTGTTGCCATGACCGACAAACATTGCCGCTCTCACACTACACATCATGTTCTCACGCAGTGAAAAATACATCGCAGAGCAAAGAGGAAACTGACAACACACTGACAGACAAGACAGAGCAGGTTACTTCTGGTATGAAACAAGATCTCAGGACGCTCAGCTTTTAAATTGTGTCATTTTTAAAGAAATTCAAACAATAAATATCGTTTTGTGGCTCTTTAATGTGTTCTGACAGATCACTGTATTGCCTCAGTTCAAACACGTGAACCGATCATCTTTTCATATTTACTTAAAGCACGAAATGTACATGAATAAACATCAGAAAGTATTTTATT